ACTTGATTTATGGAATCCAATTTTTATTCCATATGTTATTCTTTTGTGTTTTATTTCAAGAGCTTTTAATATTTTTCCTATTACTTTTATTATGAATCTTAGGAAAAATTCACCTAAAATTACTTGGAGACATCAAATAATGTTATGGTATGCTGGATTAAGAGGTGCTATTGCTGTTCTTCTTTCTTTACAAATGGCATCACCAATAATTATTAATACAACTTATTCAATTGTTTTATTTACAAATGTTGTTATTGGAATGACTACTCCACCTTTATTAAAATTAATGAAAATAGAAATGGGAGGAAGTGAACCATTAAATGTTAGATTAATTGAAACTGATGAAGACGTAAATATTAATGATCCAAATGCAACAAATAGTAATAAAGCTTTTAAAAAAATGTTAGTTATGTTTGATGAATTAGTATTAAAAAAATGGTTTGGTGGACAACCAAGAAAAGAAAAAGAATTAGCTCAAATTGATCCATTTTTAGTTAATCATCCTCCTGATGGTTTAGAAACTGATAGAGAAAAAGTAGATAGAATGTTTAGAGAACATGCTCAAAATCAACTCCAAAATAAATCAAATGATGAAATCTCTTCTAATCAAATCGTTTCTACTGATACTCCTATTCCTATCTCTAATGAAAGTCCTTCTTCTATTCAAGTAGAAATGACTGAAGAACCAATTAATGAATCTTCTTCTGATAATATTAATAATTCTTTAAACCCTTCTGCTAATCATTCTATTTCTTCTAATTCTTCAAATAAACCATTAGACCAACTTATAATAGAATGACTATTAATTCATCTCTCTTTCTTTTTTATTCTTCTTGTTAATCTTTCATTTTTTTTTTTTGTTATTTAAAACTATAAAAAATTAAAATATTAAAATTTCACATTCAATCAGAGTCACTTCCTTCAGGATTAAGAGTAATAAAAGTGCAATACAAATTTTCATCGACTCTCATCATTGCTCCACAATTATTAAAACTATTACAATAATTTGGAGCACTAAATAATGTTAATACTTTTTTATTAAAACAAAATTTAAATCCTTCTTCTACTACTTGATGTGCACGACATAATAATTCAATACCATTTCTCTTTAAAAATTCTAAAGCAACATCTGGTCCAAATGTATATGAAACTCCCCTCATATTTTCTTCCCATCCAAAAGTATCAGTAGATGGATCTGCCCATAAAATATCACATAATAATCCTTCTTCTGGAATATCAGTTGGTCGTGCAATTTGTGTTAAACAAGAAACATCTTGCATATCTTTACTTAATCCTCCATGTAAACAAAGTATTTTACCTTCAATTAATGCACTAACAGGAAGATATCTAAAAACTTCACAAAAATTTCTCCATGTATCAACATCAAATCTCCTTTTACCTACAAATTGATTACTAATTACCACTCAATCTTCTTGAATCACGAAAAATTAATAAAACTTTAACAAACATTCATCAAAAAAGCCATATAAATGATTAATATTCTTCGCTTCATGATTCCCTCTTAATAAGAAAAATCTATCAGGATATTTGACTTTTAAAGCAAATACTAATACAACAATTTCTATTGACCGAAATCCTCTATCTACATAATCACCAAGAAATAAATATCTATCTTGATCAATTTTTGTTTCATCAAAATATCTAAGTAAGTCCGTAAATTGTCCATGTAAATCTCCAATAACGTATATCGGTGCTTTTAATTGAAGTAAACTAGGTTCTTGTGCAATAACTCTAATTGCCATAGAACATAATGACTTTATTTCATTTGCTTTAATAAATTCTTTCCCTGGAAATAATGATCTTTCTTGGAAACACTTTGAAATGATTGCATCAAGGCGTTCTGGAGATAAGTCTTGCATTGATTTTCAGTTCGTTCTATTTTTTCTCTTTTCTTTTTTCATTGTAAATATAACAATTTTCCTTATTTTCTTTTTTTTTTATTTTATTTTATGTTTTAGGTTTAATATCAATTTTTGTTTTTTAATTTAAAAATAATGTTATTTTTCTATATTTTAAAAAATAAATAAAACATCTTCTTATCTGATAATTGTCTTTTCATATGTCCAGCTTCCCAAAAAATCCATCCACAAATTTAAATTCATTTGGATTTGCTCGATTATTAACTATGGCATATGGTAAATTTGAAGAAAAACATTGGAAAAGAAAATGTCCACTAACAACAGCTGCACTTCAAGCTGTTTATGTTGGATCAAAAACACAAAATAAATTTCAACTTGAGTTTGTATTAAAAGGGTTATATTTAAATGCAAATCCAGTGACATCAATATTATATTTAGTGTTATTAAATCAATATATTGAAACTAATTCAAATCCTCCTAAATTTTTATCAAGTGAAGGAAAAATTAAGAAATCATTACTTTCAGAAAATCAATCAATCAATCTTATTTATGCATCACAACAAGAACAAAAAATTGATAAGGAAATTAAAAAGACACAAGAAAAGAATTTTTATTGTGATCATAAATCTCAAAAATTAATGAAAAAGATTGGAAGATGTTGTTTACATTTGATAAAACCAAATGAAAAGGTAACAATAAAAAATGATTTTGATTGTTTACTTAAAATGGTACTAATTGATTCAGTCAAGTTTTTTCCTCATCAATACCAATCTAAAGAAGTTCAAAGTCATCTTTATCAATTTAAGTTATTAAATAATATTATTGATTATGTTAATAAACATTATTGTTGTGAATGCAAAAAAAGAAAAGAATATTTAAAAATGGTTATCGTTCATTTTATTAAACGACCTATCCTTTTTAATTATTTTACACCAAGTCAAATGAATAACTTTATGAAAATATTTTTTATTGAATGTAAATGTAAAAATATTTCGTCACTTCCACCAAATCTTCCATTTATTTGTCCATCTTCAATTGAATTAAAAGTAATAATATTGTCATCATTATTACCTCAAAATAATAATATGCAACAAGCTATCATTGATTTATATTCTCAATTAAATGGAAAAGAAAAAGGATTAAAAGGATATTATGAAGTACTTTTTCCATGTTTTCCTCTTCAAAATTATGAAAATTGTTTAAAACTAAGTAAAAGTCCATTAGGTAATGAAAGTTGTTATTTATTATATCGTTCTTTATTAAATCAACCAACTTTACCTAATGATATTCGCATTGATACTTCATCTCAACTTAATTACTGTATTCTTCGTGGTCTTTATACTATTCGTGGAGAACTTACTACTACTTCTCAAGCTCCAAAAACATCTTCAAATGTATTATTTGGTCAATTAATTGCATTTGAAGATCAACTTAAAGTACCATATTCAAAACAACTTCATTTTCCAATAATTCCTGATTCAATGAATGAAGAATTAACATTAGTCTATGCTAGAATTATTTTGTTTATTATTGACAAATCAAATTCACATCTTTCTAATGCTGTCAGATTTAGAAATTATTCTTTTAATTTAAAACCATTTAAAAATGCAATTAAAACAATTTTTGAAGAAGGTAATTCATCACAAGAATTATGTGAATTAGTTGTTTATTTATATTATAAATTGTTTTATTCTTCAGAAGACAAATTAGTTCAAAAGAAAGTATTATTATTAATGGTTGCTTTAACAAAAAAATTTGAGAGATGTTTAATTATTAACAAAATTAAATCTTGTCAAGAGGAATTTATTACTTTATGTCTTCAACGACTTGTTAAATCTCCTTCATTCTATCTTATTCAATTTATAGAAAAATTGGAAAAAGCTCGTTTTATTATTGCCACAAATCCTTCATTCCCTCAATTTGTATTAAATGCTCCTCTACCACTTGACGTTGATACTATTTCATTTTTTACTTTAATTCTTCCTTTTGAATCAAAATATGTATCTACAATAATTAGTTCTGTTATTGCATCTCTTCCTCCTCTTCTTGCTGATCCAATTGCTGTAAATGTTATGTCATATTATAAAACAGGAGAAATTGTTAAATTTGTTGAAAATGATTATATTGACGAAAAACTCTATTTAGCTATTTGTAAATTTACAAACCAGTTATACTCTCTCAGTAAAGTTATTCGAACTTCACTTCCAATATTTCTTGCTAATTTAATGCCATGTTCTTCATCAAGTGCATTTGCATTTTATGAAATTGTATTAAATTGTGATGATAAAAAAGGGTTGTATGATTTACTTGAGGCTACTATTATTATTTTAGATAAAGACATTATCATTGATGAAGTATCAGGAATTATTAAAGGAGCTACAATGAGCATATTAAGAAAATTAAAAAAGAATGAGTTTGTTGTTTTATTATTTGTATTAATTAGGATTATTATATATTAATATAATTAGTATTGATATTGTTTTATCTAAACTTACAAAAACTCAAAAAGTGATATTAAAAACATTATTTGAAGAACATGAATCATTAAATATTTCTAAGAAGAAATAACTGATTAAATTTTTGTTATTCATTTCATTTTTTATATTATTATTATTTTGTTATTTATTTTTTTTTTAATTTTATTATTAAATTATTTTTGAAAAAGAAAAAAGCATTGAGTGGTTCTAGACTATTTATAATTTAAATTAGATTCTAAGTATTGTATCAAAAAGAAACAATAAACGAAGTAATCCTTTTAGTCTTAATGTCATTATGATTATTTTAATATGTAATATTATACTTTAAATACTTTAAAATTACAGAGATTATTAAAACAAGTTTTTTTAGTTGAACAAATGAATAATTATCATTACATATAAAGAATTATATTTAAACAATTAAAATAATAGAAAAACAACTTACAAACTAAGATAAGAAATATACTAAAATTCAATATAATAAATATAAATGTTAATAATTAGATTTTATAAAGAACAATAAAAGAATTCTATTGAGTTTCTCTAATAATCATCATCTCCTTTTGTAAATAAAAAAATTAATAAAATTGAAAGGAAGAATAAAAAAAACATAAACAAAATAATTAAATTAATTTCTTTCAATTTAATGATTTTGTTCTAATTTATGAATTTTTTCAACACGAGCAGTATGTTGCATTCCATCAAAAGGAGTAGATAAGAAAACATCTACCATATCAGTTGCAATATCAGAACCAATAACTCTAGCACCAAAAGCAATAATATTAGCATCGTTATGTCTTCTACACATTACAGCAGTATAATGATCATGACAAAGAGCACATCTAACACCATTAATTTTATTTGCAGCTATAGAAATTCCAATTCCACTTCCACAGACTAAAATACCTTTTTTTCCAGTTTTAACAACTTCACGTGCAACTTTTTCAGCAAAATCAGGATAATCACATCTTTCAGTAGAATAAGTACCCATATCATTTACTTTAATTCCTTTTTCAATTAAGTACTTTTTTACAATTTCTTTTAATGGAAAACCAGCATGATCACTTCCTATAATTACTTCCATATTTAAATTATTTATATTTCTTAGATGAAGTTTATTGGAATATTCTAATGTATTAAATATTTGTAAATAATAGATTCATTTCTTATTTATTTTATATTTAAGAAAAATTCTTGTTATTTTATTATTTTCTTTTTTTTTGTTTTTGTTTGTTATTCTTTTTGTTGTTTATTTCATTATTTCTTCTTTTCCTTTTTTCTTTTTTTTATTTATTATTTAACTATTCTTCCTTTAGCTATGTATGTTAAGTAAATACTATTTCATTATTTAATATAGCCATTAGTATTATTATTATTTTTTTAATTAATGTTATTTGCTATTTTCCTTTTTTTGAATTTATCACTTTGTTCTTTAAGTCATCTCCTCTCTTTCATTTTCTTCTGTTTAACTTTTTTGTTTATCAATACCATAAATTAATTGATTTATGTTAGTCTCATAAAGATTGTCTTTTCTTTTATAAAAGTAAGAAACTTCATTATGTTTATTATTGAGTAATATAATTTATGAATAATTCTATTCATCTTAATATTTGAGATTTTTTATACAAAATAATAAAGAATCAATCCAAATATATGATATATCAAAACTTATCATTTTGTAAGGAAAAGAATAGAAAATAAAAACAACGAATTCAAAGACTAAGAAAGCTGTGTTAGAATTAGTTTAACTTAATATCCAGCGTCCATAAGATATTTAGCGCACTTGTAGGTGGCATCAGAGTTTTGTCCAGCAGAGACTGAAGCATCTGAGAAATATCCAATGATAACGGCTTGTTTGGTCTTGTAAATTGAGATACCTTCAGCACCTTTCTTACCCATAGCAGTTCCTTCATCAGCATCAACTCTGGTAATCATGTATTTCTTACCACCAATAACAACACCAGTTTGTTGAAGTCCAGCAATGTTTGAAGCACAAGCAGTTCCAATAGCAACTGATTCTTGAGCTGATGGAGTGCAATTAGCTGAAGCAGCCCAGACACCACCTTGAAGTCCAATAATGGCTCCACCCATACCTTTTCCAGCTCCGACAAGGAATGAATCAACATATGATTGCCAAGACATGTTTGTTTTTAGTTAATGAATTTGTAAATTATTTTTCTTGCTTTTATAGTTCCTCCAAATCTGTTAACTCTTGTGATCTCATTATTTCGACTCTCACACAACTTTGAATAGAATATTCTTTGCATTGTTTCAAATTAATATCAGTTAAATGATAGGATATTTTTTCATTTCTTTTTAAGTTCTCATATTTTTAGATAATTAACTTATTTTGTATTGGCTATTCTTTGCACAGGAATTACTATTTTATTAAAAGAAAACAATTTATCTTAAATTTTGTTTTGTTTTAAATTAGATATATATAGCAAAAATTAATAAATTAAATCAGTTTGTATTGATTTTACCCTTTTTGTTTGTCTAATTCGAGGTGCATGATCTTCAGTCTCTATTTTTCTTTTAATTGGACCTTCAATATCGTTGTTATGTTTAATTAATACATGTGTCTGGTCATTGATTATTGAATTGTTATCATCAACTATATCAAGGTGAAGGTTTTTCTTACACTATAATTATTAGTATCTTATTATCATTTAAAATATATATTTAATCAAACTCGTGTTGGAATAAAATTAGAGAAGGCATTTGATTTGTTTGGAAGATGACTTAATTCTTGCATAGCTTCTCTTTGTTAATTTTGTTCTTCTTAATCAGTTTCAAACTCATGTAATAACAAAATATATTACTTATAACAAAAAATCTTTTCTTTTCTGGACATCTCATTTTTACAACTGAAAAGACTTTAAAAGAATTATTTCTTTTTTTGTAGAAAGAAATTACCATGAATTCTTATTTATCATCTGTTCAATTGCCATCTTTTTTCCAGCCTCTTCCTCATGTGAAAACAGATCAATTAACAAAGGGAGTAGTTGAAAATACTCTCAAAAACCTTCTACAACATAAAAATGTCTGTTTTGAAGGAAATCAATTGAAAGTTTATAAAGAACTTTCATCCCGTGTATAACAAAGAATAAATTCTATTATTTCTAATTATACTATATTTTTTTATTCATGAAGCTTAGTTGTCTTATTTACATTTCTTATAAATTCTCAGAATGTAATATTTTAAGTATTTTACATGCAATTTGTCTTATTTTGTACTTTACAAAAAAATTACTTGAAGAAAAGACATTGGTTATTATGTCTGAAAATTAAATGATAGAAACAATTATAAGTAAACAAACAAAATACATCAGTTAAGAAATAATTTCACTTTTCTATAGTTATAATTATAATTAATATTAATTTCTAGAGGTGTATCTTTTCATTCTTTTTTGGCATACTTTTTTTCAACATCTTCTTATTCATTATATTTATCATAAACAAATGTTTCAAGATGAAAAATTAAGGATATAGTGGTAATCTGTTATAAAAGAGTATTAAATAAAGGAATTGAAACTGAAGAAGAATGTCAAAAGGTACTTGATTCAAAAAGAGAGATTCAAAAACAAATAGGAGATCAAAATTTTATTATTGAACCATTTAATAAACCTGTTAATAAACACAATTGTATTTATGTAACAAATATTGATTCAACAGTAGAAGATATTGATATTATTACTTATTTCTCAAAATTTGGAGAAATAGAAAAAAAGGATAAGAAAATAAAATGTTTCTTTCGTCTTGAACAAACTCTCAAAAAGAAAAATGGATTTATTACTTATATTAATGAAGAAGATGCTACAAAAGCATTAAATAGTCCAACAGAAAATGTATTAGGAAAAGATATTCATATCGAATTATATAAATCAAAAAAAGAAAAGGCACAAGAAAAAGAAGAAAATCTAACATCTCTGTATAAAAACTATAATTTAAAAATTAAATTTAAGAAACGTAACAAGGTCACTCGAAAAAGTATTTCTAATTATTTCAAAGGTTGTGGTAAAATTTATAGCATCTATATTCAAATGAATAAGCAATTTCCAACTGGAACAGTGTTTATTTGTTTTACTGATAAAAAAAGCACTGACAATGCAATTTGTGTTGCTGAAGACAATGGGTGGGAGTGGAGTCATGTTTATAAACAAAAAAGAAGAGGTCATTATGAAACACCAAAAGGTGTCTTCAAAAAAGTAGATAATCCTACAAA